CCTGCGTAAAACAGCAACTGAACTCAATTTGCCTCAAGGCCAAAGATAGATAAAATCAGCAGTAATTATTCCTCCCACTTCTCAATGCTGACCTCCCAAATGCTTTTATATATTACCTCATATTGTGTGATGATGCCATTTGGATCCAAAGGTTCTTTCCAGTTAAGGAAGATCTTGTCTTCAAAGGGGGTTCCTTTTACTGATTTTGCAGGTATAGAGCCAGGCACTGCAAATAAAGTAGGACTTTTTTAAATATAGGAATTCAGGAGAAAGTCATAAATTGAAAATTTGTTGATGATTTACCCCACCAACAACATAAATTAACAAGAAAAAAAGTAGGCACATCACAAGGTATCTTTATCCATCTATGCAAGAGCACTGAATTGAGACTGCCTCCCTAGACTTGATACAACTTAAAATAAATTGGCTTGTAAAACAAACAGAGAGAGAAAAAAGCCAAGCACATAATGACCTAAGTGTTTAGAGTACATTAGTAACTTCAGTAATGAACATGTCCCAGAACCAGAACTACATTTCAGAAGGCAGTTTTCAAAATACTTTAAAAACAGAATCAAAGGACAACAACAGTATAATTAAGAACCTCAGACTACTTCTTCTAAATGACAGAAATGCTGCAACAACTTGCTAGTGTCAATCACCTTTCTTGCTTGGTCATTTTTATACTACCAGGTATCATAATAAAAATATAACTGTTAACCATCATCATTTCTCAGGACTGATGCTGTGCTGGGATCAGAATGATTTGATTCAACCTTTCAAATAAAAAATATCTTTCAAAGCCTTTAACTGAACTAAGCAAGTATGACCCTTATTTTTATATCAGTGTAACCAGTGAAGGACTGTCCCCCTGGCATGATAAGGTCTGAAATCTTACCTTAGGCACCACTTCCTGAAGATGTATTCATAGTAACTGGTAATCACATGTATGCCAGGGTCTGAATGTTTTGTTATTTTCCCCTTTCAACTTACAAAATATTTTTGCCTATGCCTATCCTCACCTGGAAATGAGGGTACACATTTAAAAGAAAAAGGGGGAAGGGATGAATATAAGAAACTTTAGTTTTAAAAATGATTTTTCTTTCAAACTAAGTTAGTTATTTTTATTTTATTATCCAAGGATATATTTGCCTAACCTTTTAATTACTTTATTTTCTTTAATCCAACATGCAATGAGCTTCACACATGACATTTCCTGGAGATTTATTTTCAAAGCAACTGTAATTTTGTGAGGGGTAAAAATAAATTAAAAATCACTGGATCAAAGGAAGCGTTATGCACCGTGCTAACAGCATGAAGGAATAGTGAGTGGTCTGTCACAGCAGTAAGATTTATTTCAGTCTACATGGAAGCCATAAATGATGAGCTGACCTCTGGGACAGGCAACATAATTTGATACATTAATAATAAATTCATGGAATCAAAGCAGCCCACAAGTAAACAGATGAGACTCCAACACCCAACTTCATAGAAACTGCTCATCCATCTGTCAAGTGAAGACTTGGGAGAAGTTAACTAAAATCATGCACTGCCGTTTTGCTTCACTGTACTGGCACAGTGTGTGTAGTGGATAAAGGCTGATACGCCATGACAGCCCCTCTGTGCTGTTTGTGGCATTTGCTGATGCTGCCGAAGACATCGTTCTGTTTTGGACTGGAATGCTCCGCTGTTTTTCTTCTCCACAGCTCAAATGAGGCATAGTGTGGCATATACTGTGCACAGGTAATGTCTTCCTTCATGCATCTGAATGTGGGTGAGTAAGAGCGCACGAGAGTCTATAAATGGAATGCACTTTGTTAAATTATACTAAATCACTATTTTAATGTAGAATTTGAGGTAAAGAAAGTGCACGCACACAGTTTGTGAATAAAGCTGCAAAATATTTCTCGTCTCTTTCTTAGATAGACTGCTGCAAAAGGGGCTGCAACTGGGTACTGGGCTAGATGTAAACCCTTCTAACACATCTCTTTAAACACCCAAATGGGAGAAGCCTACAGCCAGATCACATGGCATGATCATGCTCTGTGCTTCTGCACTATAAAATTCTTTGCTTGTGGCAGCAGCAATGTTAAACTGACTGGAACTACATGATCCTAGTTAGTTTCATGCTTCTTTTCCCACTGGCATCAGAAGGGCATAAAAACAAAAGCTCGTACTGTGCGATTATCATCCTCTGCTCTTGGGAATGCCAGAAAAATAAGTTGGGAAAGACAGAGAAAAATAGTTAGCTAGAAATAAAAAAAAGGGTGTGGAGGGGGTGATTTTCTGGGGGGTGAATATTAGAATTGCCAAAAAAAAATACAGTTCATGGCAGGCTGAAACTATTTGCAAAGTCAGATGGAATTAAAAAAAAAGAGTTATGTAACTTGAAAATGAAGCAAACTATTTCATTTTGGGTGAAATTAAATGCTTCAGTTGACCTCAAATGATTTTTTCTTTTTCAGTTTTTCTGTTGGGCCACTAAACTGAAAAAAGCATTTTTCACACAGCTCTATGGAGAAAATGAGAGAAAAGAGAAGGAAATATGAAAGCAAAGGCATTCTGTAAAAGATAATATCAGTAGGCTGGTGCACAGATTCATTAGTCATTAGTCAAAATTAAGTTCAAATTTTCTTCTCTTCCAAATTATGTCCTTTTCCCCAAGGCGAGTTTTATTAACAAGTGGAAGTTGCAAAATGGGCTAAAGTAGCACTAAATCCATGGTAACAGAGGCGTCTCTCTTTTTCAATGAAATCAAAGACCATTCAATTTAGATAGTGTTTCTTCTCTAGTCCTTAGGCCTCCTGGATAGGTCCTTATGCAAGGGTCTTACCAAGGCTAAGCCACTTTGTATAGTCTCCTGCAGATAGTCACAACTGGTAAGATAAACCTTTTTTTTTTCTGATAACAAGATCAAACAACCCCCTGCTCTAAAGGGCCCAAAAGCCAAAACAAGCACCCTCGGATATATACACATATGCCAAAGTCCAGAGCCTTGTAATTCTTAGTTAATTCTCTCCTGCATGAGTGGTGTCTAATGTTTTGTTCTATTTATTAATCATTAAACCTAATTAATAATTTAGGCAATTAAATTAACTTTAAATTCAAACACCCAGGATGCACAGAAATATTTTATATATTACATATGGCACATGAGGTTCAAATTAGTTGGCAAGATAGCTGCGTAAGTTAAAATGACAACTATCTCTCAGAAAAGCAGGAGTTAATGTCTAACCCTTTGGCCTCTACGCTTACCAGAGCCATTACCAAAAATACATTTTAGTTTTTTTGCCACGTATTTCCCTCTTCTCCTCCCAATTATCTGTAAACTGTGGCCCTTTACATCAATAGGACAAGCATTTCATAACATTTTCTCAGACCACAGGTTCAACTGCATTTTTTGAATTTCTTGGGTTCTAAATGCATACATTTTATACTAGATATACAAGAGGGACAAGGTTTGAAAATTTGTTGAGAAATGGAGTCACTTGCATGCCAATTCCAAGGCTTCCAAACATGGGCAGCTGGTGCCTCCTGAGTTTGGGGAGGCACCAGCAGGGCACACTATGCGTCACCTACGCATCCAAACTTTTTATGTAATATGGCCGCATCCACGCGGTGTGAATGTTTGTTTTCCCGGGGACAACTAGCAGTGGATTGCCCTACATTGCCGCTACTCATCCCTGAGGAATGCACATACCACATTTGCTCTGGTACATGGCAAGTTACCCCACGGGCAGTAGGGGAGGCTGGGGCCAGCACTGGGCTGGCCCCAGCAGCCTTACCTGGGGGCCTTCCAGTGCTACAGCAGTGGCGATTCTGCTGTATGGAGCCTGGCTGGCAGCTGCAGCATGGCTCCGGATGGCCCAGCTCTACTTTAGAGTGACATGTGCTGCTCTGCTTTTTTCCCCCCTGAATATGCAGGGGTCAAAAAGACCCTCTGTGCTGCTCCTTTGCAGCACGGAGAACAACAGGATGTGTGGTATGTGGTGCCACAGACATGTCTGAGGCACCACATCCTGCATTGCTGCGCTCGTCTGGACAAGGCCTATGTCCTAAACCTGAGAGAGGAAGAGGCAGGGAGGAAGGGGGAGGGGGAGGGAATGAACATGTATGCACGCACGTGTGTGTGTGTGTGTGTGTGTGTAATTTAAAAGGGAATTTCCGTACAGTTTGTGTGTGTGCAAGTAATTTTCCACTAGTTTTCTTATAGAAATGCCAAAAACTCTTCATGATTTATGTGCATCACCAGAACACTTTTCATTAAGTAATATATTTGTATAATGAACAGCCGATAATCTGTTCTTCTATGTACACATAGTATAGTGGACTTTTCAGACACCATACTTAATAAAATCACAATCCATCACTCTGGAATCAGAACAACTCATTTTAGAATACCTGCATTAAATTATAGGCAGACAAGGTTCCTTGGGTGAATTTGATATCTTTTATTAGACCAACCCAAATGGTTGGAGAATAGTTATTAAGCAAGCTTTCAGGTTCAAAAACCCTTCGTCAGGCTCAGGAAGCTGCAGCAGTTGGTGTGTGCTCTTCCTGGATGGAATGAAAAGTAAAGAAGCCAGGGGCTGGGTTGGGCTGGGGAGTCAGTTGCCAGGCAGATTATAATGTATCAAAAATCCAATGTCTGTGTTTAGTCCATGATCTCTAGTATCCAGGAGGATGATGAAATGGAGCTCGTAGGCTCGTCTCTGGGGTGTGTTGTGTAAATTTCCCTTGGGGGTCAGGACTGAGAGATTGGAGAGAGAGTGGCGCTCCTGTGAGAAATGTGCCCCCACCGGTAATTGGGTGTTTCTGTCTTTGATGGATTTCCGGTGTGCATTCATTCTGGTGCGCAGTTGTTGTCTGGTCTCTCCTACATATCTTCCATCAGGGCATTTGGTGCATTGGATGAGGTATACTACATTCCTGGAGGTGCAGCTGTAAGATCCTGGGATGCTGATGGCTCTGTTGTGGGGTGTAGTAATAGTGGGGGTGGTGGAGATGTGGGGGCAGGTTTTGCATTTCTTGTCATGGCACGGTCTGGATCCTTTTGGTGTGTTCTGGGGTTGAGGAAGTTTGCTTCTGGTGATGAGGTTGGCGAGGTTCGGTGCTTGTTTGAAGGCTAGGATGGGTGGCTCTGGGAAGATCTGACACTCCTCCAGAGAGGTAGATCGCACGTTTGAAAGAGCCACCTGGATACCACGTGAAGAACTGCTGCAGTACAGA